ATTAAGGTGTTGTACTCCAATATGGCTGACTCCTGGTTTGAGTCCTAGACCCGGTGGCTTGAAAAACATGCCAGACGCCTGTGTGTGCATGCCCAAAATCCTAAGAGGAAAAGGGATTGTGGTGTGTTCATCCCCTCAGGGGGCTGATTTCTCACTTTACCTCTCTGTCTTTCTGGGGGGCGCACGTGCCCTATAGCAAAAACCTCTCCAAAAAAAAAAAAAGAAGAAAGAAAACCCGAGGCACATCAGAAGGCCTGGGTTTGAGTTCTGCTCCTGACACTGGTCAGGCTACAATCTTACAGAAGTTACTTTCCTTTTCTAACCTGAGTTTCCTCATCTGAAAGCCTGGGCCAATAATCCCTGCTTGACCTTTCTCAAGGACTGTTATGAAACTCAAATGGGAAGATAAATGGAAAGCCTCTGTATGCCATTTAAAAAACTGTGTTTATGTAAGGTGCAATTCTTCCGATGATTACTCCTACCCTACTGATAATATTCTATGTCCTAGGCTGGTGAGATGAGCTACCTGTGGTTTAGGGGGGTGATAGCCACAGGGGTTGTTTATTCCCTCACTGAAGACTTTTGCGACAGGAAAGAATTAGTCTCAATTCTTGGAAAGGACTTTGTAAGACTTGATCTTAGGATATCAGTGATCTAGGGAACCAGCAGTTAGCATAATGGCTATGTCGCTGGACTCCCACGTAGTCGACCGCAGTTCGCGTCCCGGACCCGGTGGCTTAAACTCATGCTGGGTGCGTGTGCGTGTGCGTGTGTGCCCAAGGGGGGTGATTTCTCGCTTTCTCTCTCCATGTCTCTCTCTGTCTTTCTGGAGAGCGCACGCACCCTAGAGCAAAAACCTCTCAAAAAAAAAAAAAAAAGCGAGGGGGGGGGAGAATGAGAAAGCATCCACTGGGCCCGAAAAGAAAAACCACTCAAAAAAAAAAAAAAAAGAGAGAGAGAGAGAAGAGGGTATCAGTAATCTAGCCCCTGGTTCTCAGCATTCCCAGAGTAAGGGAGAGCCTAGACTCCATGCATAGGGCTGAGTCTAGAGGCAGAGCCTGGACTCCCTAACCCTGGGTTACTCCAGCTGCTAGGAGGCCCTAGCACACTGCACCATGGAAGAGCTTATTAATCATGCTTTGGCTCCTGACCAGAGAGAAGCTGGGCCAGTTGCTGAAACTGGCTCCTAGAGAAGGTCTTCGAGGCCAGGTTGTCTGGTGCTTTCAGCTTTTATATGAGCCTGGAGTAGACCAAGGCAGGGCCAGCCACAGGTGCTGGGGCTTGTTAGCCAACCTGGCTTCTGGGTTTCTGCTGAGTTAAGAGAGGTCATTCTGGCCTTAGGGCTTAGCCTTGACTACCAGGGGCCATGGGGGAGGCAGAAGGAAGAAAAACCATGGTCCTTTAGCTGGAGGGGCTCTAATCTCTTCGGGGAAGATAGTCCCTGGGCTAGGAAAGGCCCCTGTTAGATAGGGGAGGCATAGTCCCTGAACCGGAGGTTCCTGTGTAATAGAAGAGATCGTCTTTGAGTTAGAAAGACCCTAGGCTAATGGGAGGAAACAACCCCTGGGACAGGAACTGTCCTATACAGGCCCTCTGAGCTGGGTGAGGCCCCAACTGATAGAGGAGACATTGTCACTGAGTGAGGGAAACTCTGGCTTGCTGACGAGGAGATGTTGGGCTGGATGAAGGAAGCCCATTCTGATGGGGAAGACCTGCCTCTGAGCTGAGATGGGCCTTGGGAGTCACTTCAGGTAGCCCTAAGTGAAAGGCAGAGCCCTGCACTCCAGGAATTTCCCACATGTTCTGGAAACAGGCTGTGGATACAGAGGAGAGAAGGAGGGTGGACACAAAATGCACCGCCGTGATTAGTACAGGAGGATGGGACGGAAATGTCAGTGAGACGAGCCCCCGAAGTCGGGCAGCCAGAGGCACAGGAATAGGGTAGGGGAAGGACAGAAAGGGGTGGCCTTTGTATGAGTCAAGAGACCCCTGGAAACTCTTGGGTAAGTCCCTGTCCCTCTCTGGGGCCCTGTGTAGTGAGGACACCTCTAAATCTTGGACCAAGCCAGATTGAAATTCCATGGCCCCTGCAGTGCATCAGATACCCTGGCCAGGGCAGCTCACCAAGGGAGGGAGGCTAGAGCAGCCCGCTGGGGTGAGGGCCAGCATCACGCGCCCCCTCTCCCAGTGCTGGCTGAAGGCACTGCCTGTGTGGCAAGGGACTAGGGACAAGAGGCAGGTCTGGGACATGAGAGAGGGGGAATTCCACAGTCCCAGCCCTCCTTACCCTGCCCAGACTATTTGTCTCATTTTTTGGCTCCCAAGGAAACAGTTTCTGGCCTAGCCCAGGGGGCTAGAGAACCAGCTGGCTTGGCCATGTCTGAGGACAGATAAACATCTTCTCTCATGACAAGGGCCCTGGGCCAGCTACTGCAGGAAGAGAAGGAACCTCCAAGTTTGGCCAGAAGATCCCCACGGCCTGATGAGTCGTTTGAAAGGCCTCTTCCTTGAGAGGCTTTTCCTCGTCTGCCCCACCCCTGTGTCTAATGGAGGTCTTGCCCACGGCAGGCAGAAACGTCTCTACCTTTTGTCAGAACAGAAAGTGCTCTTGGATATTACCCGGGCTGCTCTACTGTTACAGGCACGGAAGGTGGAGGGGATGGACTTACCCACCCTCCTGTGCCCTTCCAGTTAGCAGACCTGTAATGAGGGCAGCCCGTGAACAAGACCATCTAAGGAACTCGCAGGGCATTGCATGGTCATCAGGGCCAGAGCAGTCACCTCCACTCCTGTCTCCAAAGCTTGGGTCCTGTCATGCCACCACTGAGGGTTCCTTTTCCTCCTTGCCTTTCTAGTTCCCCTTATCTTTAGGTCCCAGCAGGGTTCTCCTTCCAGGCAGCCTTCCAGTACCAACCTGCCCAGGGTTCACCTTCTCTGCAAGTCTTAGATTCTGCCCCAGACATTTTTGATATTTGATCACATCTTGGTATCTTCCTTCATTCAATCTTTCCTCCATTCCACAAATATGCATTGAGGGCCCACTATGTCCCAGGCTGGAGATTAAGCAATGAACACAATAGATGAAACCCCAGGTCTAAAGAAAGCTTCCATTCTGACAATAAAACAGTTAACTGAGTAAAACGTGCAGGACGTTGAGTAAAGTGCTATGGAGAAAAACAAACGGGCTGAGGAGGTGAGGCGTGGGGGTACAGGCCTCGGGGATGCAGAGGATGATGGAGGTCTGAGCTGCCCGGGAAGAGCTATATTCGGACAGGATGGAAAGGGCTGAGTGGGAGAAGGGGATGAATAAGTAGAATAGGAAAAGAAGAAATGGGATGGGTTGAAAGAAATAGTATCAGATAGGATGGGATCAATAGAACTGAAATACATTGAATAAAAGTGGGACAGAATGAACCAGAATTTCAAAAGTGGACTAGAATTACGTGGAAAGGAGTCCAATGTAATGGGCTAGAATTGAGTCAAGAGAATTACATGAAATGGGATGGGGTGGGAGAAGTAAAATGGAATGGAACGGAGCAGAATAGGATGGAACAGCTTGATTGACCAGGGCAAGTGGGGACACATGGGGTTGCGAGGCTGGCCTGCCACTCTGACCTCCCCACTTGTCCCACAGTCTTCCCCAGGGTGCTGCTACGGACCCTGCGCCACCCCATCTTCCTGCTGGTGGTCCTGTCCCAGGTCTGCATGTCGTCCATGGTGGCAGGCATGGCCACCTTCCTGCCCAAGTTCTTGGAGCGCCAGTTCTCCGTCACTGCTTCCTTCGCCAACCTGCTCATTGGCAGCCTCTCCGTCCCCTCGGCCATCATGGGCATCTTGGTTGGGGGCATCCTGGTCAAGCGTCTCCACCTTGGTCCCCTGCGCTGTGGCATCCTCTGCCTGCTGGGGGCACTGTTCACCCTAATTCTCAGCCTGCCCCTCTTCTTCATCGGCTGCCCTACCCACCAGATTGTAGGCATCGCCCACCAGCCCACGTGAGTGTGTGCATGAGCATGACGGGAGGGGACGGGCCCCGGCAAAGCCAGCTCAGTGGGCACCACCTGCCTCAAATCTCCCTTCCCTGTAGCACTGAGCCCCACCTCTGCCTGAAGGCCCTTTATTCAAGTCCCTGCCTTGGCTTGGCCACCATCAGTGGACATTCTCTCTGAAGGCAGCCCCAGTGACAGAGCTGCTAGAAGGGACGTGGATGGAACACGAAGGCAGGGAAGCTCAGGCCTGGGGAAGAGTAACAGCTGAGACTGGACCAAGCCCCCTGTAGGATGGCACCTCCAGAGGGACTGAGCCCTATGGGTCCAACAGGGGTGGGTGGAGGCCACGTCATGGGAGGGAGGAGAGAGGCCTGTCCAGAAAGGAGTAAGCTCTCCTAAGGGCATGGTGCAAGAGGGGGTAAGCTGGGTGGCCCCCACTGGAGGCTGCAGAGAGGACTTGGGCACTGGGAGGAGGTGGGACTGGAGCCCTCGGAGTTCTTGTTTCCTGGAGCCTGGGGGCTAGTGTTCTGTTGCTCAATGACCCTGCCCATATCTGTGAGGAAATCTTGCCCATATCTTTGAGGCAGCACCTGCCTCTAGCCCCCGGGAGGAAGGCTGCTGATGCTATCTCCCTCCCACTCCTCCCCCAACCTGCACACACGCACACACATGCTTGCCCTTTCCCCGTGGGAACCTTCTTGGAGAGGATGTTGGAAGTGACATTCATGCTCTTCTCCAGAATGACTTCATTTTCCTGGAAACTGCTCCAGGCTCAGGTTGGCCCAACCTCCTGCTAGAATTCCCCAACTTCCTCTGTTCCCACCTCTCCCTTGGCATCTACTGCTCTGTCCAGGTACCAGCCTTTTCATCTGGAACTCCCACTGTGGAGACCTAGCTCAAGGCTAAGAGTTCGCAGCCCTTCCCTGTCTGCCCTAGGTTCCCCGCCATGGACCTCTCCCTCCTCCCCTTCCTGCCTCCTCACCCTGACATCCCTGGCCTTTCTCCTCTTCCTAGCAAGGCTTCCCCACTTCCTAGAGCAGGCCTGCCTATGCGGGCCCTGTGCCAGGCACCCGGGCAGCTTCAGCCGTGCCCTCAAGGAGAGAGTCAGGTCTGTTCAGTGATTTTTGGAGTCAAATTATTTTTAGAGTACAAACTACAAGAATGGGCCAACCCGTTGGTGTGGTGGTTAAGGGAGTTGGATCCCACATAGCCAACCATGGTTCGAATTCCAGCCCCAGTGGCTTGAAAAACACATTGGGTATGTATGGCCCAAATCCCTGTGGAAATGGAGAAGGGATTGTGGTGTGGCCACACCCCATTGGGGGGTGATTTCTCCCTCTCTCTGTCACTCTGGTGAGTGCACATGCCTTCTAGCAATTACACACATGCACACACACACATACACAGACACACACACACACGCCTGGATGGATATTTTACCACAATTTTTTAAAATAGTAAGTGGAAATATCAGCCCCCACACATCCTGTTTCACTTTTCCTCTCCCTCTTACACCTTGCCTTTGACATCTCGTCCTACCTGTGTCCACACTACATTCTTGCAGTTCACTCACAGAGCTCTGGATTTGGATCCACCAAAGGAACCCTTAGGGAGCAACTGAGCAAGTTGGGGAGCCTGCACGAGTCATGATGCAGGCCACCATCAATAGCCAGGCTCCCCCATAGGCCCATCACCACAGCCAGCACTCCACAGTCACGGCTCACTGGGCACCCAAGGGATCTCGGTGAGATAGGGCCTAGCCTTGTCCTATTTTACTGACGGGTAGAGTGAGGGTCAGGGAGTAAAGTCGCCCCCCCAGTTGGGACAGGGCAGAGCCCGGAGCCAGGACTCTCCCCATAGACATAGCCAGCCCAGGCGCTCAGTGAGAGAGGAGGGGCCAAGGAAGAGCCCCCCAGCTCTCAGCTGCTCAGCCTTCCCACTGCTGGCAGAGGGTTCTGGGCAGAGTCCCTCAGGTGGAGTCTCTTGATGCAGCTTCCTGTTGGCCCTTCCGCTCAGACAAGGGGGACGACGCAGGAGACAACAAAGCCACGTCAGACACAGGAGTGGCTGTCAGGCAAGGGAGCAGAGGGGAGGTGATCTCCCTCCTCATCCTCCTTACTCGCACGAGGCCCCCACCCTGGGGAGGGAGAGGAGCTCACCTTTGCCCTGAGCCCCAGCCTGGCCCCAGCCCTTCTCAGGCCATCTCAGCTGACCGGCTCCCAAGGCCCCTGCTCCTGCTAAGCCTCTACTTGGTGGAATTGGGCTTCCACTACATATGCCAGGTTGGGGCTTCTGCCTCACACCCACCAAGAGGGAGTCCTCCAGCTTCCCCCTCTGGTCTCCTCCTCTACAGCCTGGACCCCGAGTCACCCTGAGCAAGGCACAAGCCTCTCCGGGCCTCTGTCTCCCTGGCAGTTGGCTGAATTCCCTGCTAGTAAAGCCAGGTTATAGTCTCGGCCCCTGCCATGGTAACTCATCCCCGGGACTCAGCTTCTCTCTGACCTGTCCCTGTCCGCCCCCACTTTGCCCTGGCCAAATGGAGCAAGGACACCCCTGGGGTTCAGGAGCAGGCCCTTGGGAGGGAGGCAGGTGGAACCAGGATGAGTCCTGGACATAGGGACCAGGGCAGTGAGAGTGAGCAGAAAGGCTGTGAGACTGCACTGTGGCCGTAGTGGGAGGGAGCTGGGCCTAACTGCAGACAGAGGCAGGAACAGGCTGGAGGTCCCACAGTGGGCAGCCTCCGGACTGGGCCCCACATTCATGGCTCTAACTTCCTGAGATAGGAAAGTCCAGCTTATTGGAGGAAAGACATGTTCACCTGACACTGAATCAGGAGTGGAGAGGGGGTTTGTTCTGCATTCTCTACAGAAGGGTTCCTGAGGTGGAGAGACGTTTACAGAAGGACTTAAACACTCACAGGGTCTGGGGACTTCAAGGGGCTCAGAGGCCTCTGGTCTACTCCACACTCGTCCCATCAGGAGGCCACTAGAGCTGCCGGCCATCTTTCTACTCGCATGCCTGCATCACCAGGAGCTCGCCACCATGTAGCACTGGCCTAGGCAGCCCTGACAACGAGAGCCCCAGCCAGTGCTCTCAGGGCTGGGGAGTCAGGCTAGTGGGCACAGGCCCCAGTTCGTGGCCTGAGGGAGGCGAGCCAGGCCAATCCTTGCCGAACTTCCGTCCCAGCAGGCCATTCTCGGGCTGCTCAGAGTCCTGCTCCTGTTCCTCGGACAACTTTAACCCCGTCTGCGACCCCAGCACTCGTGTGGAATACATCACACCCTGCCACGCGGGCTGTGCAAGCTGGGTGGTCCAGGAGGCTGTGGACAAGAGCCAGGTGAGTCAGCCCTTAGCGGCCACCTCTGCCTCACAGGGGCCCTGATTTCCCGTCTGTGTGGGCCCGCCCTGCTCCCCACCTCTGCGTGTCTTGCTCACCCCTGCCCTCTGCCTCTGTCTGTCTGCGGGCAGATGTAGACCATTATTCTCTCAATGAGCTGTCCTGCCGGCCTGGGCCCAGGGCGCAGAGGTGAACCAGATCCAGCCCCCAGCTGTCTGTGCAGGGAGAGCGCAAAAGGAAACAACTTGCAGGAATCCTGGGGTGCTGATAGGTATGTCCGTGTAGACACAGACATAGGATGACAGACACAGCCTGTCTGGGGGTCGGGGGGCCCAGGCCTTCCCAGGAGCTGGCATGTTTGCCTGATCTTCCTGGGTGAGGAGGGAAACGAGGACTTGGTAAGGAAGGGCTTTTCAGGCAAGAGGAACAGCATACACAAAACTTTGGATGAACACGTGTGTGCATGGACACACCCACATACACACTGCTTCAAGAAACCACAAAGAACTTGGAGCAGGAAAGTTAAAGTCATGGAAGGAAGGGTGAGGCCAGGCAAAGAAGGGGCTCAAATGCCAGGCCAGGAGTGGGGGCATTGGGCAGCCATGGGGAACCATGGGAGGGTTTCAAGGGGGGAAGTGACAGCGTCAGGTCTGTGTTCCATCACGCTTGGGGCCACGTGTGTAGGAAGGTGAGCAGAAGCAGCAG